GTGAATATAGTGAAAAATTATTTGAATCAAGTGAATTTAAATCATTGGAAAAACCAATTCTATTGGAAATTCTCAAAGGAGATGATTTTTCTATTAATGGAATAATTATTTGGGAAAATATTCTTAATGACCTTAAAAATTGGTCATCACAAAATTTTGTTGATTTAAGCAACACAATAAAGGAGTTTATTCTTTAATAAGATTTCAGGATATTTCTGATGAGGAATTTTTCAATAAAATTGTGCCCTATCAGAAACTTTTTACTGATTTTTTCTGGAACAACCTATTACAAAATTATTTAGTTCCTAATAGTCAACAAGCATTAAAAATTTTACCATCAAGACATTATAAAACTTATTCCAAAGTCTGGATCAATGACAATTAATGAAAAGCTTGCTTTGCCTTTTGCAAGTTGGATAGATAGAAAAAGCTCACCATACAGTTCACACAAAGAAGTTAAATATGAATTTAAACTTTTATATTGCAGTAGTAGAGATGGTTTAGATCATACAGTATTTCATCAAAAATGTGACAATTTCAACAAAACTCTTGTAGTTGGCAAAATACAAAATTCAGATCAAATAATTGGTGGTTATAATCCATTTAATTGGAATGGAAATGTAATAAATGCCTATAAATCAACAATTGGAAGTTTTATATTTAATATAAGTGATAGAAATGATATTAATGCTAGCTATATTAATTATTTATACATATGCAATTCTTTGTGGTCATCATTGTTTACCTATTTTTGGTGTTAATGATATTTGTTTTTATATAGATGGTGGTGTTTATAGTAATATAAATAGTTATAATAACATCAATATACATGGTAGCAAATTTGGTGAATTAGAAATTTTTCAAAAAATAAAATAAAATTTACTATTACTATTGTACTTCTTAATACATGTATTATTCAATTTAAATAAAGATATACAGTGCGTTTTAAAAAATTTTTTTGCATATCTCAACAACAGGAGGGAACGTCCTATATAAGGAATGGATTTTCACAATTGATTTCAATTTTTTTTATACAGTTTAAAATACTTTTACAAGGGTATTACGTAGCCCATTCTTACAATAAATCATGTGCAAATAATTACACAAATTTGAAGCTTTACACTTTGTTGTTATCATATCTTTTGAATCCCTTTGAATCCCACAACTTTCATAATACGATTTACTCGAAGAAAAAATGTCTGAAATTAAACGTTGCACAAAATGTAAAACCATTAAATCAGCTAAATTTCGTCAACTGAAAGGCAATAAATGGAAAGAAGCTGAGAACAACAACTTAGCGAAGGTAACATGGACAGAAGGTGTTGTTTTATGTAACATTTGTTACATGAATTTCGTAGAAAATCCTTTAAAAAGGGGATCTAGGCAAGTAAAAACTACAGGAAGAGGTAAGTGAAAAGATTGATTTCACTAGAGCCATCAAGATGATTGCTAAAATCTTTTATGAAAGAGAATAGAGAATATAATAATAAAGAAGGTCCTATATACGAATTTGATGAAATGCGAAGATTGCTCCAAGAAATAGAACCAAGCTTGAGGGGGTTTTTTGACCAACTCTATTTAGCAGCTCGGCCATTTGAACGTAATGAACAAACAATGGACCGTATGAAGAGATTAATGGTGTTCATATGTTATCTTCTTGCTTCATTAAATAATACAAAAAT